TGTTATTATTATCAGTATTACAATGAATATTGAAATACTCACTGATCATATAAATGCATGAGTACATACACGTTTATGCATGTACTGAAATTACTAAATTTGGAGATTAAAAATATGAAGTCAAGTACACAGTTTATAGTTTATAGGAAACGCCCAGTTTGCAAAATTGACATTAAAAAATAACGTAATCGTGCGTGCGATGAACTAAGTTAGGTCTTAGAAAAGAGGAAAAATATTTCAGAAAAAATCAATTCTTGTTATGCTTAAAAACAAAATATATATTCTCATGTACCGATGACTACCTGAATAAATGTGGGTGAATATAATTCTTCTGTAATAATTTAATTAATATCAATTACCCATATTTTCAAAGATAATGGTAAAAATGTTAAGTAAAGGCCTATCCCCTGAATTAACATCTCGAACCATCAGATAGAATAGTTTACAATTGATTGATCACTGAGTGATGATCAATGCGATGTATGTCGAATCATTCTTAGAGCCGATAAGATTTTATCAATGATGTTGTATTGTGGACACTAGTCTAAGTGACTTGATATCACGTGCACCATGTTGAGATGTTAGGTGTTAGTTACAAGTAGTAAACGGGAAACCTTAGACCTAAGTTTCGTGTTATTTAACACTCATCACGAAATCGAACCCGCCAGGGATCAACAGTTACCTCAACATTACAGATATCCCTTAATGTTGAGTGCCCAATAACACAAAATATCGCTGATACACATCTTACATATCAAAACAGAATGTTAGATTACTATAGAGACACCTGAAACATAATGTTTATTCTTAAATTTATTGATAGAATCTTGGTCTGTTCATTCACATATCAGTATCAATTTGTTGTTTCACTAATTTCGTCTGATAAATGAAAACTAACTATATACTATAACCAGTATGGTGATTTGAGTCATCATCATCCTCTAAATAGCATATAGTGAAATTCCATTATAGTTTGATGTTAGATAGTTGGAGCTAACCAAACTAAGTAGCATAGTGATAGAAAGTCTGATCACAACATTCGATAGATTATTTTTTTAATTCTTAAAAACTAAGTTCTAATAAACATTTATTCATTTTCAAAATCTCTTTTCTATTTCATCTAACAATATAACATTGAAAACACACTGTAATATTAAAGATTCTGGTTTAATAATGATGTATACTATGAAGTTGAGATATGTTGTTCTCATGATCAACCGTCTTTACATTAGAGTAAAATTAGCTACATTATTTTATGTACCAATAAATTACCCACAACGATTCAGCAATAAGTTGTGTTACTAATCAGTGAAGTTTACAACAAGTTGAAACATTCAATGGTGGGAACCCCAAATAAAATTCCTCGAAAAAGTATCCAGAAACTTGAGAAAATCTGAAAAACTTCATTCAGTCGGTATCCAGCAGAAAAATTTCAATGTTCGAGAAAGCCAACAAATTTTGTGTCACTTATTAACTGGATGATAACCGATTTTGAAACTAATTTTGGTATATTTCCAGGAGCTTCCGGAATATCAAGACTTTATAAACCTTTATGTTTTGTACTTAAACACTGTGAGCTGAATCCTAAGAACCCTACACATTAAAACAACCAAAAAGTATTCAAAGTAATTTAATGAGAGACAAAGTTCTGAAGGAACCTTTGATCGAATATTAAACTTGTAGATTAGGCCTTCAAAGCAACATACTATGGATCACAAGTTCATCCAAAGTTTCGGATTGTTAGTTCTGCTACTTGTTGTGATTCGTTATCATCATCACTAAAGCTATTTTCAACCAAACAGTAAGATGTGAGTGACCGCCTAACTTCAATTCCACTTGGTTAACATTAAATGCACACTGAAATAGGTTACTAAATATCTTAAGATATATATTTTATTGAAGATTTACGAGTTTTAAATGAGCGCTTCTAAAACTGATTTTTAATCCGTAACATTTAAGTAACTGAATGGATAAATATCACTTTATATTGGTCATATTATTTACCGATTCGTTTCAGGAAACTGGCTCTTAATCCTAATAAAAAATAAGACGAAATATTAAAATCAGATGAACAGAAAGTTAAAATAACTTTCAATTGTGAAGACTACAATGGATTAACATGACTTGAACAGTGATTATGTGATTGATTAACTAGCTTTTACTACATCTAGGATCAAGTGTCACGTGAACTAACATCTTTATGAATAAATTTCCTATCTAAATATGGAATGCTTGTTGGATTTCACAGAATGTGTCTTATATCGAACCTAAAAAATTGATTCTTTGTTTAAGTAAGTCTACATTTTTGTTAATATAGTTGAATTACTTGTAAGTAGCATCAGCTTGCTATGTAAATTTCTTATAATGGGTTAATGTATTTATAGGTTTATAGAGATTTATTTAATTTTAATGTGAAAGAACTGTAAACTTTATTCGTTTGAGATAGGTCTATCCTCAAGTCCCTATCGAAAAGTTGTTCGGCTGTTGAAGATCAAATGTAATTGCTAAAATAAACCTAATCCTAATTTTTATTAACACAGTACCAGTTAATATAATGGTTGATGCATTATGCTGAATCAAGAATTTCCAATTTCAACGGATAGATAACAAAAGGTTCAGCATTCTAAGATTCTCTCATAATACGTCGTCCTCATTCAATTGAAAAAAACCAAATATATGACCTATATAGTATAGAAAGTTGTGTCATTCTGGATAACCATTTATTTCAATACTGATATCTGAAGAATATTATGATATCAAAGAAAAAAATGTAAAAAGTAACCAGGATTCATATAAAACCAAGATAAATAATCAACTTGCTGTAAGAACATCTTGAAAACATCGTATTTAAAATATTTTATAGGGTGTCCTGTTAATCATTATTTTGTTTCAATCTAAAGGAGTAAATAAGTCTAACTGATCTGAATAAATGTCAGATTTTTGAAGCTCACTGTATTCTTGATCTTGGAAATCCAATCATTTTCTGACTTGATCGGAAATTCAAAATCCTTTCTATCAGTAATATATTATTTAGAAAGATATCTGCTTAATAATTTGTCACAAATAAATAGATAAATATTCCTTCTTTTTTTCCGAACTATTAATTGATATAAGCTCATTTCAACTTATAACTTACGACTGCTAAACTAACACATTTAATGTATATTACATTATAATCTATGCCAATGTTAATCTTTTACGAATATGCTTAAACTATCACCTAAACTAATACTTATCATTTTTCATAGATTTATGCATCACATATAAATATTTAAGTGATCAAAGAAGAAGGATGAAGTTGAGTCTTATTAATAAACAAAGCGATATAAATATCAATTTAACACATTATCTAATCATAAGTCGTATGCAGTTTAATTAAAAGCTGACTGATATTAAAATGACAAGAAAACGAAATCGAGTGAAAAGAATATGCGTAACAATCAGTTAGCTAATCATTATTTGACCATTTAAGTAAATAATCATTTCAGTATTCAGTTTTATTTAATTTAAATATTATCTATAGCTTTACTATTAACCATTTCAGTAGTACATGTGTTTTACAAACTATAGATAAGTATTGTCAGGAGTTTCTCATGAAATCCATTATTTTCTCTTCACAGGACTTCAAGTCTCATTAAATATCAATTAGCATTAATACCGACTCTTAGATTATTTGGATTTACTGGGGTTTTTTCAGAGTTTCTGTTGTACAATTCTATCTGTATTTATTTTGATCATCTTTTCTGTGTACAATTCAATCGACTATTGTCATTCCATTTGCTTAAACTTGACGTTTTTGGTGACTGGTAAAAACCAAAAAGTAATTTGGAGCTTTATATCATTGTATAACTATATTACAAATTCTCACATATTTCAATATAAATAACGAATTAGTGCTTTAATTAATTGGTTATCTAATATTTTGTCATTTCAATGATAAAACAAATTAGTAACCAGTTTTGTCTGTATTTATAACATGTCAAGTTATAATAGGCAACTCACAGTGAGGATGACAATTACTTGTCATCTCTAAAACTCTTATATCTGTCTTATCATCTGATAGTATAAATTAATTTCACCCGCAAATAGAAATTAACCTATATGCTTATCATAATAATTATGATTTATTCTATAAGGAATCCACTAACTTTTAAAAGTAAAATATTAAATTTGAAGTAAATGGTTTAAGGGATTTATTCAATAAATTTTCATTACTATATGAGGAAGGATACCTAAATGGTTGTCTCAAGAGATTTAACTTCAAATCGTCAATAGAGTTTCAACTATTCAAATGTGATTTATAATTAGTAAGTGAAGGAGTTGTATAATCACAATACTTGTTTGTAAGATTGACTGGTAATAAGTGCCAATTAAGTTACACCTTAGTGGAAAAATCTATAAGATCGTTTCTTTTTTAGAAATATCTAAGAGTATCAAGTAGGAATAGCTAAAAGTGCAGGAATTAATTATTTCTGTATCTTTAAATAATATTTTTTACAGTGTCAAACGAGATAATGCACCGTCTAAAACAAAATAGTAAAGAAACTGTTTATTTAACAATGCAACGAAAATGAATATTAGTGCATGGTATTATATACTCGGCAAAATAAAACTGGACTATAACTGACGTATATTTTGATCTATGTTTCTTACCATCTCAAGTCACTGACACATATGGTTTGTAGAATTAAACCTATGACATTGTAATGCTCACACCTTATACAACTTTCCTTTTTTTTCACTTGCTATTTGATAAAGTAACTCCGCCTGTAGCTCTTCTAGAGTTACTGTCGGTCCCAAGCCCAGGTAAAGAAGGAGGGTTGGGCATCTGGTCGGTAACTCCACCCCGTAGAAAAAAATCTCGCTAAAAAAACGTCAACCAGATTAAACAAATTAATTTGATAAAGTGACTAATTCCCTACTAATTCTAGCCAGTTTGGGTTGAAAACGTCAACTAAACAACATGACTAAATAATTACAAATCGTAAACTCATATGTTTCAAAATAAAAATATTTATTGGATTATTATATACACTATACCGAACCATACATTTTCGAACCTCAGCACTATTCATAGCCTTCAGAAATAATGATGATTAAATCCTGAACTTAATTATGAAGTATCTGATTTCACATGTTTTGCATAATTTAAGAAGTATGATAAAAACTAATACTTTTAACATTATATTTCGTTTTTAGCCAAGAGTAATAAGTAAAAGTTATTATGGATAAGTGAAAACACAACTATCTGTCTTCGTTTCATATATCTTTTCAAACAAATGAGAAGTACTACTGTAAATGGAGGATTGGATCCATGTGTTTTTGAAATTGATAGTGAACTTCTCTGTGAGACTGCTTTAAATAAAATGATTTTGAAGTAAGGTCTCCTGAAATAATTATAGTTTGTTAAGTATATTTCGGTTAAACAGCCTGACTTATTGTTTACTTCATTGTCTACCTGGCATATTAGAAGATGATATATTACAATACTTAAGATTTCTGCATTCATTATATAAACTATAGTTCTATTTTTTCGAAACTTTCACCATACAATGTCTGCTTGTATAACGCTGTTAAATTGATAATTATGAATGATTACTAACTGGTCGATTGTCTGCTTAATGAACGTCTATTCAATTCATTGGAAAAACTGAACATTGCAACATTTGTCAACCTCATTTAACACTTTAATTGACACCAACAATTCTTCAAAACTATGAATATATTCAATTTTATTGATGCTAGCAAAATATGAAACAAGGATTTGAAATATACTCCAAAAAACTCCAGTTTCTAATATTACTTAATTACGCCTGTTACTCCTCGTCCAGGAGCATAGGCCGCTCACCAGCATTCTCCCTCCAACTTTGTCATGGGCGATTCTTTCTAGCTCTTTCCAGTTCTTATTCATCCTTTTCATATCTGATTCTATTTCCCGACATAATGTGTTCTTTGACCTTCCACTTTTCTGCTTCTATTCAGGATTCCAAGTTAGCGCTTGTCTCGTGGTGCAGTTTGATGATTTGCGTAATGTATGTCCTATCCATTTCCATGGTCTATCTCTAATTTCCTCTTCAGATGGAAGTTGGTTTGTTCTCTCCCATAGTAAGCTGTTGCTGATGGTATCTGACCAATGAATATTGAGTATCTTGTGTAAACAACTATTTACAAATGCTTGTACCTTCTTGCTGATGGTTGTAGTAGTTCTGGAAGTTTCATCTCCATACAGTAGAACTGTCTTGACGTTGGTATTGAAGAATCTGACTTTTATATTGCTTGACAGTTATTCTGAGTTCCATATGTTCTTCAATTGTAGGAATGTGGCACTTGCTTTACCAATCCTTGTCTTTACTTCTGCATCTGATCCTCCTTGTTCACCGATGATGCTTCCCAGGTAGGTGAATCATTCCAAATCTTCCAGAGTTTCTCCATCAAGTGTGACTGATTTGGTTGGTATTCTCTTTGTGTTGTAATTGAAGATCTTGCTGTTTCCTTTATGTATGTTGAGGCCTACTGATACAGAGGTAGTTTCTAATATTAGTGCTTTACAATCTTATATATCCACTTATCAATCAAAAATTTCTTTTTCAAAACCTTTGACCTTGATACCATTCAAGTGTTATTTCCACAAATAGTCAACATGAAATTATAAAGAAATTACTTGATATGAATTTTGTTTAAATAAGAAAGTTAAAATTTGACCAAAAATCTATATGATGAATGATATTGTTTATAATGTGTTTTTTCAATATAAAATGTTACATATATGATATCAGAATTCTATTGAAATAAATAAATAAATAAATAAATAGAATGAATTTATACTATTCTGTTATAATCTTTATTCTTGTTCTCTTCTTAAATGATTGAAAGAACTATATGTATATATGTAAAGTAACATGAGTTCTCTCTGTCTCTAATTTTTTTCTTGTTGTTACTGTTTTTCATTTAATCAATCATATGATGTTAGAAAATATTAAAAAAAATTCTTTGTAATTTTTAATTCATGTCAATTAATCTTTAAAATCATTTGATCAAAATCTGATTGGATCAACAAATTCTATTGATTCATCTGTTGATGAATTACTTTTTGATGATTTCTTTTCATATTCTATATCACTAAGACAATTCGATGAAATTACACTTTTATTGTCTTCAGATATTCGATATGTATTTCTAATTCCATATGAGAAATATATTAATAAACCTAGATGATAACAATTTGAAATAGAAAAAATAAAACAAACAAACAAAAAAAATCAGCAGATTAATGTAAAATAAAGTGAAATATACAGTAACATTGTATTTTATTAAAGAATTACTGAATGAAATGGGTTTTCTTTTCTATTTTTTAGTTGTTAACCTTTTTTTGTTGGTGGTGGTGATGGTGATGGTGGTGTAAAAGATTTTTGTATCAATCATTTGTAAATGGTTTACGTCAATCGAATGTTTTCACTGGTTAAATGTCATATATTGTAAATTAATATTAGATGGATACAATTTTATTAAAATTAGATAATTAGTAATTTGTATATGTGTGGTTAATATTAATTGAAAACATTATATATTAACTGTTAAGCTTTAAGAATATTTACGTAATTATTATTATTATTATTACCCTCCATCTACTTAAATTACTTCTTAAGAGGAATGCACAATTAATTAATTGATTCAAAAATTAATAATGTTAATAAATTTGATCAGGAGAAATAAACACTATACACTTTGGTTGAACTACTATATACTAGTTGGTTATATTCTGGCTGACAGATGAAGGTATCATTAAACAATGAAAACTTAACTTATACTGAGAAAAGTCTAAATCAAATAGCAAGTCTTTAGTATATTCGACAATATGGTTAGCAGTAAAATTTAAGACATGAACTCTGATTATTAAATCAGAAGTTCGAATAATCTTGTGGAAATTTCAAACTTACACATGAAATCGTCAGTAGCCGTATATTCTAAACTAAACAACAATCTTATAGATATTACAAATTTTCGAATGATTAAAAAATGTCTTAGTAACTATGGGTAAAAATGAGCAGCTCAATTACTTCATATATCACTAAATCTTATTATTTTCATGATATCCCAGTAGAGATACTGGAATCAGACGTATCAGTAAATGCAAAGATACTCCACATTCTCTTCAGCAAGATTTGGGATGAAGAACAAGTACCAACAGACTGGAAAGAAAGTCATCTATTCAAGATACTAAAGATCTCAGCAACTGTGAGAATTACAGAGGCATCACTCTTCTCTCAATACCAGGAAAAGTCTTCAGCAGGGTATTGTTAAACAGGTTGAAGGACTGTGTCGACGCCCAACTTCGAGACCAACAGGCAGGATTCCGTAAGGATAGATTGTGTACAGACCAAATCGCAACTCTACGGATCACTGTATAACAATCGATTGAATGGAATTCAGTACTCTCCATCAACTTCATTGACTACGAGAAAACATTTGATAGTGTGGACAGAACAACACTATGGAAGCTTCTTCAACACTTCGGCGTACCCCAGAAGATAGTCAATATCATACAGAATTCCTATGATGGATTAAACCGTAAAATCATGCATGGAGGACAGCTGACAGACTAATTCGAATCAAAGAACAGTGTCAGGCACAGTTGCTTATTCTCAACCTTTCACTTTCTCCTGGTGATCGGCTGAATCATGAAGACGTCAACATCTGGGAGGAAGCATGGTATACAGTGGACATCTAGGATGCGGCTGGACGATCTAGACTATGCAGATGATCTGGCTCTTCTAGAGCACACGCAAAAATAAATGCATAATAAGACTGTCAGTGCAGCACCAGACTCAGCAGCACTAGGTTTCAATAAACACAAAGGGAAAAGCAAGATTCTCAAATACAACACAACATGCACCAATCCAATCACAATTGACGGAGATGATTTGGAAGATGTAAAAACCTTTACATATTTGGGCAGCATCATTGATGAACACGGTGGATCTGATGCACATGTGAAGGTGTGGATCGGCAAAGCAAGAGCAGCATATTTACAACTGAATAACATCTGGAACTCAAAACAATTGGCAACTAACACCAAGGTCAGGATTTTCACTACAAATATCAGGATAGTTCTACTATATGAGGCGGAAACTTAGAGAACTACGAAAGTCATCATTCAGAAGATACAGGTGTTTATTAACAGTTGTCTATGAAAAATACTTCGGATCCTTTGGTCAGATACTACTAGCAAACAACCAACTGTGGGAGAGCAAACCAGATCCCAGCGGAGGAAGATATCAGAAAGAAGCGTTGGAAGTGGATAGGGCACATATTGAGGAAAGCACCCAACTGCGTCACAAGACAAGTCGTCACATGGAATCCTCAAGGCCGAAGGAGGAGTGGAAGACCAAAGAACACATTACGGCGAGGAATGGAGACAGACATGAGAAGAATGAGCAAAAATTGGATAGAACTGGAAAGGAAGACCCAGGACAGAGTGGGTTGTAGGTAGTTAACAGGAAACCCCGAACCTAGGTTTCGTGCTATTTGGCACTCATTAGCAAGGTGTACCTGTAATCTTGAGAGAACTGATGTTCCTTGACGGATTCAATCCCGTGTCACCCAGCTTCACAGTCAAAGACATTACCACTAACATATCGAGGCGCGACTGATTTCCTATTGGACTGAGATGTATTTAAAATTGATTGATCACTGAATGGTGATCAATGTCATGTATGTCAGATCTTTCTTAGTGGCCACATTACGACTTTGTCGATATGATTCGATCTGCACTAAGAAAGACCTGACATACATTACATTGATCACCACCCAGTGATCAATCGATTGGGTTGGATTATTCCAATCGACTGCCTATTCTCCATTGGGGGTAACAGGCATAAATAAGTAAAATAACTATCTAATTAGTATGGCAAATTTGTCAAGTAATCATATACAGTTTATTCACTACTATACCACAAACATACATGCAAACTAAATTATTAATTCAGATTATGAATATCAAATTTTATACACTCATTCACATATACATGTGTGCACAAAAAACAGAATCACCCATGATCTGAATGTTATAACATTAACACGATTAAACCTACCAGTATGTAGTAAACATTCTATATGATTTGTTCTTCATACTAATTCAACTTGTGTGAATTTAAAAAAAATTGCCTATTCTTTGAAGAACCAACTTCAGTCTGAAGACTCCATAAATTTAATTTTTAATTCGTTGTGATATCACAAATATATTATATCGTTACTTTTGTAAAGTGGCTAACATATCTTTAATTTATTTAAAAACTATACTTATAGTGAAATGATAGAGATTATACATGAGCGATAACTTCATCTTTTCTATACTTTAAACTATTTACAAACAAAACAATAAAAAACAAAGTCTGTGGAATATAAGTAATAGATTATTTATTTCATTTGTTTGGAAGTAACATTCATTACTAACTGATATCCACTAGACAACTGTTTGATGATATTTTTAGACACCCTACGAGATCAAAATTAGAAAGCTTCAAGTTTTGCCACAAACAAGGTAACTATAGATCGATAATCTAGAATCTAACGGTAATTATTGGTATACTCAACTGATCTATATTTTTCATGATTATCAACCTAAAAAATAACATATGTGATATATTTGTGGAGTAAAATAATGTCAGAAGTAAAAATTAAGATAATTTTGTGAAAAACTTATATGTATAAAATAAATATTGGGTCGAAAACTATATTTTTAGATGCCATTTGATATGATCTGGTAAACCTTCTAATACAACAGTTAATGACAGAGGAAATCTTTGTAATTTTATGGTAACTTTTATTGATGTGATTGTTTAGAGTACTACAGCAAAAAAGTATTTTCATGCGAACAGTTGCTGAGAAGTTTAAAGTAAAAGCGCTTATGAACTTACTTACAATAAATTATCTCCCTTTATTCCATAAAAGGAATATTTTAGGTACAGAAGATTGGTTTTGTAAATATTATTTGTTGTTCTTTCTGCACAAAAATCTACTAAAGAGACTAATTGTAGTAAATACACAGTTGAAGTCATCAGCACTGAGGTTGGTGGCGATTAGCGATTATCAGTGATATTCTGAACTAATTTAAGTTAGATATTCATTAGCAGACAGGAAGCATTGGAGAGCTATTTCTTTCTAGTGTGAGGCTCTTCATCACTGTCCATCAACAATGTCCTCATTGGTGACTGATTTCGAGAAAAAACTTCGGAGTTCTAATGAAAAACAAAGTTTAGTAAAATTCTAATGCACTAGGTGTCAGACAGCTTCCCAGTAAACACAGTCATGAGTTGATTGAAGGTAAATATACACACTATTGGATTCCTGCTTAATAGTTCAGAGTTTAAGTGTTCGCGTATGGTCAAAAATTCCGGGTTTGATTCACTCTTACAGGGTTGTAGATGCTCTCTGGTGAGGAGTCCCACACCAGAATGAAACAGAATCCAGAGCTTACCGGCCAATAATAAACATTTAACTTGGGTCAGTTCGTGACATTAGTAATAATCAAACTCAACCTACATTTTAATCCCTACTATAAATTCAGTGTATTACGAAGTATTCATTAGTACGTTGTTCTTGCAAATCCAAAAAAGAGAAGGAACTTACCAAATAACATCCAAATACCATAACGAACCCAACTAAACCACGAAATCCGAGAAAGAAGTAGTAGATTTATCGTTAATGTCAAACAAGGAAGCAATGGAACCAATGGGGCCTGAAAAATAAGTTCAAAAATGCCACTCAAATAATGATTATTTCCGATATATGAATAATAAATATTGTGTTATTCAGTACATCAGCCTCTATGAAGATGGGAGTGTCAGACGGTTCTTAACTTAACCAAACACTGTGCAACATGTTCGAGTGACAATCTTACTTTATTTACAAATAAAGCACATGTATGTACATTTTGTTTGAGCTCAGAACATAGTTATGAATAAGGATATATATATATAACCAATTTTGATCTAATCATAGAATTTAACATTGGTAACTTGTAAATGTATAGAATATACAAGGTGAGAGATGCCAGTATTTTGTTAATGATCCCGTGCTCCAGATGTTAGGTAAAACTAGACGCGAAGATAAATTTAGACGCAAAGGTTACTGTAATATTATCAATTATACATGCCATTGAGACCTGGTAATTTTTAAGAAAAATATGTACAATACTGTAACTCTTAACTAGTTTGATGACTTATAATTCTCGGTCAAACATGAAATTCTGGCAATATAAATTGTCATATTCATTTTCATATTTACATGATTCGTAGTTGTGCAAAATAAATTTAGCTGAATAAATTTCTAATGCAGTTGATTTAGGATCCTGTCAATTCCCGTCTTAATTACAGACAATCCTTATCTAAATGAGAATAATTGGTCTATGTTTTATGTAATGACTATAAAAATCATGTTCATTGATGCATTATTATGTATAAGTCAACTGAGAGGTTTTAATAATATTCACCAAATGTACTTAACCAAAATCTTGTTATTTAATCATAATATATAAAGATTCAATTGACTCATAAATCCAACTATTAAATTACTATAATATCCACGAAAACCCTTCTCTGATTATAATCATCATATGCTCACTAGTGACGGTCTCCAAGAGGTATTTCCTGGAGTTCTAGTGAGAAGCAGTAACCAGTGGAGTTCAACCGGGTCTGTTGTGAGATTGTAACTCACTGAAGATAACGGTGGACTGTGTCGCAATTTCGTGGATCGTTTTTGAAGTTAAACATTAACACCGTTGGATGCCGGCTCAGTGGTCTAATGGTTAGGCGCTCACACGCGAGAATGATAGGTTCTATGTTCGAATCTCGCGAGACGGAACCGTAGATGCGTACTGCTGAGGAGTCCTATGGTAGGACGAAACGGCCGTCCAGTGCTTCCAGGTTTTCCATGGTAGTCTAGCTTCAATTAGTTCATGGATTCAAATATTAAATTACTATAACATTCACATAAAACCCTTCTCTGAATATAAGGATCAGTTTTTTCTGTCAACTTCAATTTCATGTTCACACTACGGTAATACAATAATGGATTAACATGTACGACAAGTTATCATAAATCAAATCCTCTTCATCAGACGAATTATGAATATATAAATCAATAATAAGAAATTATTACCAGAATAGATGAATATTATCATTTAAAATCATCATCAGAACTATACTTCGTTGTCATGTTAATGTTCAATGTAAACGAGAACACGAGACTGAGTTGCCATTTTCAGTTTTCATATAAATAATCATCAGAGAGGAAAAAACGAGGTTAACGTTTTGTTTCACAAGTCAATATTAGTTCTCGTACAAAATCACTTTCAACATTTTGATTAGGTTTTTAAGCAAAGATGGATAGTGGTTAGCAGTGGAATCCAGGACGCGCGTTTCATCGTATTTGGGACTCGTCAGCTGTATGTAATTGCATCCCAGAGTTGATCTTCACTCTGGGACTCCAACCCAGTACCGTCCGTTTCAAACGTCATCGCGTTATCCACCTAACTATTGAGTCCTGATAGCCACTTGCTTGTTCAATGGGGTGACGTTTAAATTTACTTGGTGTTGTTTTATTTGTATCTTCCCATTGTTATTTGGGACTGCAATTGATCAGTCTCATGTCGGCATATGTATATCCTGTGCGGATTGCCTCGATAAAGCCAACATGATACTGATCAATCGCAGTCCCAAATAACAATGGGAAGACACAAGTAAAACAACACCAAATGAATTGTGATTAGGTTGTTTCAATAGAAAATATTTTATTTAGCAATATTAATAATAGATAACTTACTCGATATAAATTAGCATCATTTGACTTGAACTGTTTAATAAAACTGATGAAAATGATAGTTAACATGAGTAGTAAAAGAATAAGTACAGTGGCAATGATCTTCATAAATGATGCTATTCTACCAGATACTCCAAAGGTCAAACATCCAACCAATGCAATACTCAATATTACATAAATAGATATTAAAAGAACAACCATACTACCAGGAACACCAGAATTGATAAATTTTAACATACGATCAGATAAACGAAAACCAATTTTCTTTCTAATAAATCCTGGTTGACCAATTCGCTTACTGTAATATGCATTCTGTGAAGCAATAAAACATTCATAGAGAGAAATCAAAATTGATATATCACAAATTATACATACATACAACAAGTACGTACAGTAACTGGGTAAAAATATATAATATTTAGTAAGAAAAAGAGAATTCAGCAAAGAAAATTTTCTTTTCGCTGAAATCATTTACTTAAGCTGTACATTCGTATATATAGTTATATGGAAAATATATGTCTATAGGAGGATAAAAAGGATTGCATCACAAAAATGGATTCGACAATGAATAACAAAAGAGGTTACGTACTAATCAAGGGGTAAGAAAGAAAATAATTTACGGGTCAGATAGTTTATTTAGCGATTTATTTTGACCGACCTACAAGAGGACAAAAATCACTAGTTGTGAAATAATTAGCAATCAATCAGCTAGAATATTTAAGACAAGTGATTTAGTCAGTTACAACCAACTACAATCACTTGTGCTTGTATAATATATACAGCTCATAGTGGAATCCTATCTTCAAAGCAAACTTTCTAAATGATGGTATCATCGAGATGCTGAGGAAGATTTGTGCCTCAGGTGGATGATTTAGGTGGTCCATCGAGCTCAGAGAACAAAACTCCATTAAGATGGTATCATATTTGAATACGCTTAAAAGTAAATCAACTTAATACTTTTGTAATCCAAAAAATTCTTTCAAAAAAATACTTTATAATTTGTTGAGACAAAACATTAAATAAACTTTGTCATATCTAATTTATGATCTGATTTCTTCTATAAAAAACATTCCATCTAGGTAGATTTTCATTAACCATTTAATAGTTTATTAGTGAATATGAAATACATTAGATATGTATTTACCTGATAGTTTTCAAAACCTTTCGAATTAGCATTATTATATTCATTTATATCTTCAGGATCATTTGTCTGTGATCGATAACGTAGAAATAAAACACTGACAGCACTAATACAATAGGCAATTAATGTACCTAAACTTAAAAAACTTGCCAAACTTTGTGCAGTAAATATTGTACTAAACAAACATGTGAAAATTATAATGAATATTGTCGTCATTGGTGGTCTCTGTATGAAGAAGAGAAAAAAGAAGGACAAATAAGAGTAGTATTAGTGATAAATTAAAAATATCACATTTACATAACTTAGATTAACTAGATTGCTTACTAAGTGACCAACATCATATTTCTATAGTCCGTTAAGTGCTGATCAAATTTTATTGAGCAAGCCGTAACGTAGCCACTAATTTAAGCGACTATATTTCCCATTCACTACGTTTTGGTGTTTTGTAGTTAAAGGAAGTCGAAAGGAAACCTAATACCTGAGTTTTTAATTGTTTGACACTCACCATCAAGGTTTACCTGTAATCATGATGTAACCGATCTCTCGAGTGGATCCGATCCTGAGATATCCATCTTCACATTTTGAGACGTTACAAATGATTTCACTTCTACACGAGGTTGGTCAAGGCCAGAATAGCTCAGTATAAACTTCTCAGGATGTGGAACTGAGGAACGCCGTGCGAGAGCATCAGTCTCATCAAGAACCTAAGTTCAGAATTTCCTAGCGACTGCCCTCAACCACCTAACATGCATACATATTGTCTACCACATAACACGCAGTGTTTCCCACATTTTACTTAATAGATCAATGCACATCAATTAGCACTGTAGATTAAAATCTAGCGTTACGTATTATCTTACTGCTCATCGGTGTATATTTTACGTTACGTTACTACACAACCTATAATATTCAGTCATCATCAGCACAGTAATGGTAAAAGAAGGAGTGATGAAAACCTCTCTAATTTAACACAATTTAATTTGATGAGGATAACACATATATATACATATATATCAAGCAAAATTACAATTGCTTTTTATGCACATATCTTTATATCATTAACCTTTCCATTAAAAAATTACCTTGAAGGGTCGGCAAACACGAGAAAACATCGATGGAATAAAACCATCACGGACCATAGCTAAACAAATATTTATACTGGCCAACATTGGTGATATCAAACTGGTGAGTAATCCAAGTACAAACCCACTGCCAATTAAACAAAACATGAATATTCTTCCAAATTTTGAACCAGTAGATTCTTTGTTATCCTTTAATGCATTTAAAAATGCATTTTCTGCGTCGATATAAAACCATGGATAATATAATGTCAGTGCTAATGCAGATAGTGTAGTGACGAGTCCCACGATGAGTATGCTGGTTACACTGGCTGCAGGTAGGCTATAAGGAGGACGTTTAACTTCTTGTGCACGTGATGATGGTGCACTGGACCTAACGAAAGCATTGAAACTAATTGTTGTTGCACTTATTAAACCAAGAACCCCATAAGGTAGAAAATATTTAATATTTGTTGTAATCCCAGGATATATGATGGAATAATGATTTGCTTTAGCATGAATAAACATATAGATAGTAGCTATCACTAATGCCCCAACATTCACGGCACTTGAGATCACGGTCAAAGCTAAATTTTTACGTAGTCCAAAACAACAACAAATGCCAAAAATAAGAATCACTATCGTACTGAGGAAATCAGGATGCTCTGACAACAATCCATCTGGAGATGATAATCTGTAAAAGTAATTTTATGAAATGAAAAACAAAAATACAATTTAGCCATATATACTGAAATTAAAATTTCTTAGAGATATCATTATTGTGTATAGTTTGTATTACAAATTTAGTAAAAACGAGTAGCTTTTTTCACTAAACCGATAGATGTCAATAAAAGAATCAACCGTGTGAGGATTATTGGTGATTGGATACTTGACATGGTAATGATTTGCTTGTGTGAATTATATACTGGCTATAAATGACTTCCAAAAACCAAAAGGATATAGTGCAAATGAGTGAAAGAAACCACACCACTTTACCAGTTTCATAAGTACATTTTTAGATGAGTAAATTTTCGACGATTTCAAACCAAGCCTACAAATTCTTTCGGCTCAATTTACACCCTGTAAAGTAATTGAACTTTTAAGGTGAATATCTCATTGTCATAAAAAGATAGGATAAATAAGTAATAAAATAAAAATATTCCTTTTAACATGAATGTTTAAGATATTATGGTTGATCGCTAAATATGTCTATACTATCGAAATAACTAAAGCCGGATAAAAAGGCTCATTGTAAAAGGATTTCGATTAGTTAGGTTTACTCTTCTTAGATTGAGAAGGGAAGAAAGAACACAACTTTACAGGATAAATAAATAAATTAATTAACTCAATGAATTTATTAAATAGTATATTCAAGTAGACTAATATCTTCGAATAACTGAATGGTACCAAGCTTACGAAGCAGATCTCAACAAACAAAAGGACTTATATATGTATTCGCTTGTACATTGACGGCTTACGGAATCATGATCAGTGTCAGGTTCGCATAGTCCATTAAGTGCTATTTGAATTCTGCCTATAAAGTTATAATGTGAGCACCAATCTAAGTGACTTGATATTGCATGAACTATATTTCCTTGTAACGTGGTTAGAGGTTGATAACAGATCCCAGACCTTAGTTTTATGTTGCTAAGCACTCGTCAGCAAGGTATACCTGTAATCTTTAGGCTACTGGTGTTCACTGAAGAAATCAATCCCATGTTACTCAGCTTCTAACTCTGAGATGGTTTACTTACCTTCCAAATGTAATTATTGTCCACGAACTTATCCTGTTTCCTGAAAAAGTGTTGATTATGTTGCTCCAACTACGTGCAACTAGTGATGCACTTAATATGTAATCGAGAAACGTTGACCATGCAGTTATGAATGCTGGAAGTTCACCCAGAAAGCTGTGTGCATGTCCGTAACATGCAACATCCTAAAAACAAATAAAACCAGTAAATGTATATTAATAGGACTTTTACTTATAAAAATACACGCGTTTAGATAATAAATTCTATATCAGTAACCCAATCACTAAAAAACACATTTTGTTATTCCCATTAAAAAATAAATGTTAACTATTCGGGAGCCCCACATTAAAAAATCAGAGGGTGGCTAACCGAAAATTTATAATTTCAAAATTTTCATGTTATTCTTATTTGCATAAGTTCATTTACTTAGAAAAATTTCGTTTTCTTTGGAAGATCTCTTAACAATAGCAATAAAGGTAAACCACTCCAATGGTTTCTGGTAGTTATTTATGAAATAAAGTAGTTTGTTTATACTTTACACATTATGATGATACTTAGTTTATGATAAGAGTTATCATACTGATTTCCACATTAGTGTTAAGTAACTGACAATTACAAATATTTTATACTGTAGTCATCAATCCCAGCTAAAATATATTAATCTAAGTTTTGTCTTCTTCATTCAGATAAGTGAACTATTTATCAAGTGGTTTAGTTGCTTGATTATATATTTTCAGAGTAACATGCGAAGTAGGATAGCTTGTTGATATTTTATATGACCATAAGAAGAAAGGACGTTCAAACTTTAGGGTTAATATAAGCTGTAAATTTCAGTACTATTACAATTTGTATCAGTGAACTAATAAGATTAAAGATCGAGTTTCATGAGTTCTAGTAGATTATTTCTGATTTTCAATGGGTAATATTTAAATTATTATAATTATTATATTTATAAATGGTCATAAAATGTACTAAATATGAATGAAATGTATTATGTGATAAAATTCTTCATCCTTTGTTAATATTCGTCTCATTTCTTACAATTACAAAGCTACATTATTAAAGATTACTTACTTACACCTGTTACTCCTAATTGAGCATAGGCCACCGACCAGCATTCTCCAACTCACTCTGTCCCAAGCCTTCCTTTCCAGTTCTATCCAATTTTTGTTCATTCTTCTCATGTCTGTCTCCATTCCTCGCCGTAATGTGTTCTTTGGTCTTCCACTCCTCCTTCGGCCTTGAGGATTCCATGTGACGACTTGTCTTGTGACGCAGTTGGGTGCTTTCCTCAATATGTGCCCTATCCACTTCCAACGCTTCTTTCTGATATCTTCCTCCGCTGGGATCTGGTTTGCTCTCCCACAGTTGGTTGTTTGCTAGTAGTATCTGACCAAAGGATCCGAAGTATTTTTCATAGACAACTGTTAATAAACACCTGTATCTTCTGAATGATGACTTTCGTAGTTCTCTAAGTTTCCGCCTCATATAGTAGAACTATCCTGATATTTGTAGTGAAAATCCTGACCTTGGTGTTAGTTGCCAATTGTTTTGAGTTCCAGATGTTATTCAGTTGTAGATATGCTGCTCTTGCTTTGCCGATCCACACCTTCACATGTGCATCAGATCCACCGTGTTCATCAATGATGCTGCCCAAATATGTAAAGGTTTTTACATCTTCCAAATCATCTCCGTCAATTGTGATTGGATTGGTGCATGTTGTGTTGTATTTGAGAATCTTGCTTTTCCCTTTGTGTTTATTGAAACCTAGTGCTGCACTGACAGTCTTATTATGCATTTATTTTTGCGTGTGCCATTAGTAAAGCTACCAATGTTAAAAATTCGATGCTATTCATAAACGAATCGATCAGATCCATCCAATCCCTTCCTACACGTTTCAACCAAGATGAATGTTTCCAGGAACTGAATATTTATTGATACATCTGGTATTGAAAGTAATTTTTAGTGAGATAAAATTTAGTGTACATTGGTATTTCGGTTCGGAAATCAGGATAGACTGTAATATTTGCCTATTATCTTTTTTTATTTCCATCTTTTTGATGCTCCTTCATCAACCACACCAAAACGTCTTTACAAGCCACGATAAAATAAACTCAGGTTGTGATTTTACTGTTTCCAATAAACAAGCAATAAAAAATTTCCCCTGGAACAAATGGCAGTAATTTCATCGATTATCTTTACCAATAGAAAATGAATCTAAGCAGAGGTGACTACTTCAAAGATTGACATAGACTAATTGATCTTATATCCTTATTACTAAATTCTGACAACTCATACACAATTCCATAACACATCAGACATTAAATGTGAAATTAATCGGACAAAACATTTTTTTATGATTCGTAATTAATTTAATTAAAAACTGACAGAAAACAATTACTTACTTTCGGAACATGACATGCTAATTCTGAATATATCAGAGAATTTAATATTGCTACAAATGTAGCTATAATGTAGGCAAGAAAAGCACTCGGTCCAGTTTGTGCATTTATTACAGCACCAGTAGATACATAAATGCCTCCATCCAGCATACATGCTGAAAAATCATAACATCGGTAATCTTAAGCAAATATAATGATTATGAATATCATAATTCTTTAAGGTAACTTGGAATTATTAATATATGTGACTGTTAAATTGTCTATTCATACTGTAGTGAACAGAACACGAGTGGGGACAACCGAATGCACAAGACGACAATTACAGAACTTGTTAATAAAATCTAACAACCATATATTAAATGCTCAATTTGCAAAATGTCCATCAATTGTCTCAAATGACTCAGACTTCATTGTTCTTGCATTTTCATACAAATTGAATTCTGTTTCCATTCTTTACCGTTCGATCTTCTTGTCTCTCTGCTGCCGGACATTCTGTTCATGACTAACATTATATACTACTTATGTTTACATAAGTAGCACAAGCCACAATACTATGTACTGATTTATTCAACTCATATCTCTTCTTTTAGTATTCTTCGAATTGACAAAGCATCTACATGACCTTTATTTAGTCAAGATAAAGCCTATTACACAAAATTATTAGTTTTCATCAAGTGTTCCATGGTATAAATAAAGCACAACTCTACACTAGTATAAACAAATGACTTAAGGTTTGTGTACAATGTCGTAAAATAGAACTCGGAATAAAATTGACTCTTTAAACCTTTAAGACTCAAACTAATTAGAAAAGAATCTGTTCACCAGTTATCAAAGCCTAATGGCATCCAATCACAAAAATGTAACGTTGAAATCTAAAAACCTAATTGAATTATATTATTATTAAAATGAATCAAATCACTGTTGACAACTAAAGAGAAAACGATTGTAAATATTCATCATCTAAGATTACTAATTATGATTTTAACAAAGAGTGAACGCTTTTATGGGATGAATGGGATTAATTCAATTTCTTTTCTTAAAATTTATCAATAATGTCAGGTTGTTTTACAAATAATTACTTCAAATCTCCCTCAGTAAGAAGAATAACCATCATCTGGAGTACTAACTATATTCTATACTTATACAAGGTAATTTAAGTACAGATAATGCATATATAAACATGATTTATGAAACCGATTTGCAGACTCAAAAACTCGAACTAATGATAAACCTTTTTTTACAATTAAATCACATTGATTTTATACACAGATATCCACATTCATAACTGTACATAAAGCATTAGTAGTAAGGGATTTGAAAAGAATACGTATACAAATAAATATATCACTTTGAAAGAAAACATATAAATCAAACGGTTTTGATTCAATCACAGATTTGATCAATGCAACTAATCTGTACGAATTTTTTCTAGGATAATTTGTTTTTTAAACTATCCACAGGAAAAATAAGAAGGATACAACAAATTTACAATATTTTGAACAGTAACACACATTTTATCAACTCTAATTCATTTGATAGAGAATCCAGGTATACGAGTAAATATAATTATTATGTAAAATTGTCCCATTTGCTTTAGGAGACTAGTGTAATAGTATCTACATAGTGTAATGACGTATCAAGAAATGAACTCACATTTTCTTTTAAATATCACTAGACTCATTCGAAATTACTCGGAGATAGAAACCTAAATTTACCAGATGTTCATCTATATAATTACCATGCATTTCCTTAGCTACTTATGAATATCCTTTACTGAGTGGATATAAGAACTTTTAAAATAATTAACATAAGACAAACAGTTTGACTGAATTTGAATAAATGTTCAATAATGAGCAGTTCATGATTTATATAAAGGGGAAGAAAGATTGAATATGAACAATTATGAGTGGTTTAACTAAAAAAAACTGAACTTATGCCAATGATTTACTATAACTTCGACGTTTAGAAAGACGATATTTCCAAATATGACTCATATTAACAGTCAAAAACTGCATAGACGTTTAACATTTGTTTTTCTGTTCATCCTTATATTGTTTCAGTTTTACTAACTCAAAATACTGAATTAGAGATGATCGCTAGCTATAAATAAATCTAATCGAAAGATATTACCTATTACATTTGTTAGCTTGCATTCTGCATCCAAATTGTCTATGAATAAGGTCTCTTCAGTGAATATATTTCCAAGACACCATGTTATATTCTTCTAGTATGTCAAATAATTTTCAAACTTAATGTGTGGTAGTGAAGGCGAATGTGATTGGTCACTAAGTGTGGACGAAAAGACATTCAACTTAATGATCAGAAAATATGTTATTTCCTTTTCTCAGCAATGCGCAACCACGACGCCGCCTCGCGAGATTCGAACCCAGGAGTCTCATACTAGGACGAAACGGCCGTCCAGTGCTTGCAGGTTTTCCATGGTGACCTAGCTTCAATTGACTGATGAATTCAACTATTAAATAACATAATCGTCTAAAAAGTAACCCGTCAATTTCAATACACAACGATTATAAATATTTTTAAGCCACTGGGTTAATCATGATTTCGTTGCATGCCTTGAAAATAAATTACAGAGTAATCAATAAGATAAACTTTGCAAAAGTTAGACCTCACACTGGTCTTTAAACACATTCTTCAAACTTATAAGTTAGTGGTAAGAAAAATTTGTTAACGTCACTTATATGTCAGCTGACTGAAATACAAATCAGTCATCTAACAGATTTATGATGTTGTTTAATCAAGTTTCATTTTGTTCACTCGTCAATTTATCAAACTTATCACTACAATGACTATTATTATTAATACTACTACAGAGATTACAGACATAAAGTTCAATGTTTCTCACTATTTCTGTTGGTTATTACGTCTTTAAATGTTCAGTTCATCATTCCGAATTAATACAATTTAGGAGAAAGTTTATCATAACCAATTATACAAGAATCCGTAATCAAAATAACTGACAATAAACAGTCCACTGGTTAATGTAGCTTGGTTGTTTACTACACAACAAAAATACATTTAAAAATGATTAGTTTAGTTGTCATTTCCCAATGAAAGAATTAACACTAATTAGGTTAAAGAATGATCCATTTATTTGATCATCATTTCTACTAAACCATTTGGTTAACAAACAAAAATTAATATGACATCATTTTGATGAAAGTTATAAGGAACAATTACATATACATACATCTTATATAATGCAATATAAATTATCAGACTACATTAACTTTATATTGTGAAATACATCATTCTCAATGAATCCCATGCTTAATAATTTTAAATCAAGAAAGTATAGTTTATAACATTGTACTAGACAAATGAAATTAAAAACCTGAACAATAAATAGTCATTATAAGCGGAGATGGATAGTGACTAAGAATGGAATCGAGGACGCGCGTTTCGTTCTATTACGGACTCGTTAGCTGTATGTACATGCATCCCAGAGTTGACGTTCACCTTGGGACTCGAACCCAGCACCCTTCAAACGCCATCATGTTATCCATTTAGCTACTGAGTCCGGAAAGCCACTAGCTTGTGCAACGAATAAATGAATAAACAAAATAAATAAATAGTCATGTAGACTGTTGCAATCGTTCATATTTCAAGTTCTAATCAAGCTCAAATGGTCAATTATTTTAATGATTATTCATAGTTCATTTTTGGATCTTCTTCTTTTCCTATGCGTTTCAGTACTCTATTCCTTCCTTTTAGTAATATTTTTTGAAAATATTGAAACTTGAAGCAACAAAGTATCAGTTCATTGTCTGCTTTGACATAACCAAACGATTGTTACATACAAGTCATTTCAACAGGAAAGTCCAATTAAATTATTTTAAGTATTTGTTCTATGTACAATTGTATGCTTGTTACCAACACATTACATCATTCCTCATTCAAATGGTCAATTCATTAAACTATTAAAAAGTAACCTAGATACTACTTATACAACGAATATATTCATTTTACTGAATTAAACACGACAAACCAGTTTCAGTTTTGAAGATGGAGATATATGTTTACTAAACAAAAGTTGATAAATTGCTGTCTATCACAATAAATGAAAATAGTTTTAAATGTATTAAACGATCTACCCATATTCTTTATTCACACACACACATACACTATATATGATGAATAGTTACATCATGTAATCTTAAAATATTTTTATTACTTCAAAATATATATGAGTTCTTAACACAAGCAAACGTTTATTGACAACACATCTTATTTACTCCTTTCCAGTCTGTGCTATATTTAGTATACAAGCTAAATGATACACATGATTCATACTTTTAAAAAATGCATGCTGAAATCAATGCAAGTTATGTTATTATTGTAAAAACTAAAATTTCTTCAGAATTACTCAAGTACAAATCTCATATTTACTTTACAATTTTATAACAATTAAATACACAATATAAGATTAATAAATCAAAACACTTGATTGTAAGTAACGAAATAATATGTATCAGACTATTTGATAATGATATACGTACGTCATGGAATGATTTTATTTAAACGTTTACTAAAAAAACTGTAAAACACTGAAGAGTTGTATAATCCTGTCACGGGTATCCTGGGTAATGTACATCCACAGTGAATATATTAAAAAAAGAGACTCCAATCTTTGTGTCTAGAGTATTACGGTTAGACCAATAAGATAATATTCATTAGGTTGCTTTTCAAACTACAATCAATTCTGGATACTGAATAATCATCATCCATCACCCATTTCATTATCGATATGACCGAACTCTACTAATAGCTGTCCTTAATTTGAATTTCGAGAATTATTTTCTCATTTAATCATCAGGAGAATAGATCAGCTACACTGAACCCGCCGGACGTCGAAACACCACACACAGACCTTCCTATACATCTCATTCCGCGAACGACTGAAGAAATCAGGATAGACGGTCATCAGACAAATAAAAAGTGAAAGAGCAGAAAGATCTGAAAATATACCACATGAGGCAATGACGTCACACACAGAAGCAACAGCAAACATGTGCCATGTTCTATTCAAGAAGATTTGCGATGAAGAACAAGTGCCAAAGAAAGACTGGAAAAGAGGATATCTCATCAAGATGCAAAAGAAAGGTGATCTTAGCAAATGTGAAAAGTACAGACACATCACACTACTACCAGTAACAAGAAACATTTTGAACAGTGTTGCTGAGCCGGACGAAAGATTAAGTAGATGTCCTGCTTTGAGATCAACAAGCCGGATTCCACAAGGATTGGTCGTTCACAGACCAAATCGTGACACTACGGATCATCGTTGAACAATCAATTGAACAGGACTCTCCTTGACCATGAGAAATCACTTGACATTCTGGATATGAGAACCTTATGGAACTTCATTCGACATTGTTGAGTGAGTAGCTCAGAAGATCGTTAACATGATCTGGAATTCATACGACGGACTACATTGCAAAGTCGTGTATAGAGAGAAGCTGACAGACTCATTCTAATTGAAGCCCAGAGTCAGACAATGTTGATTACTCGCGTCCTTTCTCTTTCTTCCGGTGGACGATTATATTGTGACGACCATATCTAACGGGAAGCAGGGAATACGATGGACAGCTTACATGAAACTAAACACAAACGAATGTAGGTCAAGGCAAGTAATGTAGAGGAAGTCCCTAAATAAGTAAGCCTCAACTTACACAAGGGAAGAAAAAACAGTCAAACACAACACGAAGAGCAACAACCCAACCACACCTGATGAAGAAACTCTACAACAGGTGAAAAAATCCACGTGCCTGGTCAGTAGCATCATCGATGTACAAAGAGGATGTGGTGCACGCGTTAAGACAAGGATTAGCAAAGTAATGACAGCAGCCCTACAGTTGAACAACATATACAACTCCAAACGGCCGTCTCCCAACCAATATCAAACTCACAATCTCCAATACGAACATCAACGTAGTTCTACTGTACGCTGCTGAAACTTCTAGAACTAATACAATCATAATCAAAATGGTACAGGTATTTATAAACAATTATCTATGTAAGATACTCAATGTCCGTTGACTGACCATCATCAGAAACAGTCCACTGTGACAGAGAAATATCCAGGTTGGAGCTGAGGAGGGAATTGGGAGAGACGTTGGAAGTGGTCAGGACACACACTGGGGAAATCATCAAACTGCATCACATGTCAAGCCCTAACTTGGAATCCTGAAGAGAAACGAAAAAGAGAAAGGCCAAAGAACACACTGCGTCGGGAATAAGAAGCAGACATAAATGGATGAAAAGCAACTGGAAAGAACTGGAAATGATTGTCCAGGACAGAGTTGGATGGAGAATTATGGTGGCAGGCTCATGCTCTTCCACAAGGGGTAACAGGCTTAAGTAGGTCATTAGGAGGAACATAATTATTATTGTATTGTCTGGACAGTTTAGATCATTACTCTTTTAGATAAAGGAAAAAAACAGGAGAATATTAAATGTCTGATTTTAAATTCAGTTTTAAAACTGCTTTAACTAATGATTCAAAAGTTTTTTGACCACAATTTTTTTACATTATGTTATCTTTTGATACTGCCAATAACTTTTATTTCTGCGAATAAGGTCCACTTCTTTATTCACATATATCTAGGAAAAAGCTCCAATGAAATCATTTAAGTAATCGTTCATTACTAGTTAGTTTGTTCCAAATTTATTTACCTCTTTTAATAAGTTCAACGTGAACTTACTATCACTCTTAATTATCTAGACAATAAGACAGTGGAACTCGTTCCACTTTGCTTTCTATAGCTAATAGATTTTTTATCAGATATCTGAAAGCAAATAACAAAAATCTATTAATAGAGGCTATACTTGTTGACACATGTGAGTAAGATGCATATGAAATATGCATGAAACTGATTATTATTCATACGCTGGGATCTCAGTTGTCTGGTGCTCACAATTAGAGATGTCTTCAATAAGCAATTCAAATGATGTGAAAAGTTTATTGAATGCCTCACATAATTACTGGATAAAGTTTTGTTAACACTAAAGATTAGATAACATTAAGATAATAAGGTAACATAGCTTTTCCTCTATAAATACAGTTTCTAAATTCATGTACTTTGGGAACTTTTAAGGTTACTTGACTGATATTCAATATTATAACACTACCGTTTTTCTTGCCGTTTTTCATTAAAATACTTTAACAAAATGAAAGGATATGAGAATGCTACGTGAATTTAAACTTCACCCCATTGAACAAGCAAGTGGCTATCAGGACTCAATAATTAAGTGGATAACGTGAAGATGTTTGAAACGAACGGTACTGGGTTAAAGTCCTAGAGTGAAAATCAACTCTAGGATGCAGGTACATACAGCTGACAAGTCCGAAATAAGACGAAGCGCGCGTCCTGGATTCCACTGTTAGCCACTATCCACCTTTGTCTATAATGCTAAGTGTTATTTCTTAATAGTTATCAGTTATTTTAATTGTAAAACTAATTAATAATCAAATCGAGCACCGTATTTTGTAGACTATTTGAAAATACAAGCAATCTACAAAATTAACAATTCAAAACACTAATTAATTTGCTGCTAATTCTTCAGTAAAACATGTATCTGCCTAAAATTATTAATTCACTATTAAATAAACTGAGATTAATTTTGAACATAGCAATAAAAAAGTGCCTATATGTTCTTTGCAATGCATACCATTCAAAATGAAAACGAAACAATAATTCTTCTATCTGGTTTGGATATGGAAAGTTAATAGAGTTACGTAAACTTGTTTTGATCTGACTATATTCCAAAACCCAGTTAGATGATTATTTTTTAAAAATGTCAAATTCTAATGTCTTCAGCACTTTAGTTGCCCTCTGATTCATTCAAATTCTTTAAATAAAAAACTACGATCGTTGTTGTATGTTTCAACACAAAGTAGCTTAGGTGATACTAAATCCCTTACTGATCATGTTACTGACGTTGTGTTAAGTTGTTAATGAAGATATAAATCTGTTGGAAATCACTTATTAAAATCAATTGTTCCAGCACACTCACCGTTTTCTAGACGTAAATATTAATTTATTACTTTTTATGGTATTTTAAAAGTCTGAACCATGATATTAAGATAAAAGTCACCGAAATACTCCTAAAATTACTTCAGAAATATGATTTTCATACTTAAGCTACAAACGCCAGATCTAGCTAAATGAAAAGTCTCTTATTCTTGCTTTTAAGTTGGGGTATTACATATAAGTTTATGATAAAGTTACCATAACTCAGAGTTGTAAAGTAGCAAACAACAATTTATGATCTACCAAAAAACCGACCCTTAATGATCAGGTCTAATAAGTCCCACCGACCGGCTGCACGAATTCAAACAAAATACCATCTTTAAAATTTATTATCCCATTTAATCGGAAATAATTTATCATCTATGTGTATTCATCCGACCGTGAGTCAAACTGCATGAGTATAAGTTACTTCATAGAATACGTTTCCCTAGTTATTCACGAAATAATCGAGAACCATCATTCATAAGGTTAGCATGCATCCCCTAAACATTCAAGCAATAAATGCAACGGTTCTTAAGTTGCACAGTTTATTCAGGGTTGAAAGCCAAGACATGTAGCTTCCAATATTTTCCTATTCTATTCAAAAATAATTTCACCAATACACATGACTAATAAGCGTTTTCTGTAAAACTGTAATTTGTATTGTAATTGAATCCTGTCTGTTGAGCTTTCTAATGATTTTATAATCACCCAGTTAAATTCATCTACATTTATCACTGAAATAGTATTTCAGTAACATTTTCTTTGGATGCTATTGACTCTCAGAAACTAAAGATTTTCAATGTATTGAGATCAGTGGGACTAGTGTATGATAATCTCAGAAAACAAAGCAATTGTCTTACCTCTAGCATCGACAATTCTTTGACTTGGAAAAAGTACCAATTCGCATTTGAAAAATAAACTAACAACTAATAGTTTTGTAAGTTCATACTGAAAAATAGTTCAATTTAAAAACCAATTTCACCAGTAGGTACTAGTGAATCAAAAATTAAGCTTTCTCTCAACTACAATTATCTTTTGTTTGTATTAATTAGGTAACCAAAGTTATTCAAACGATCTACTTTGTCATCGCAATTTTGTAATTTTCTTTTCCAATAAGTGCAAATTATGTTATTGACCATCAATAAAATTACTATAATCTCTTAATGAACTTTTATCATTTTCTGTGTTACATAACCGTTTAATTAATACTTGTTATCACCCTTGATTATGGTATTAAGATAATTTCTACCTTCTCGACATCTCTATATTTATCTTAACAGATCACCTTTTACTTTGTATTTGGACACCGAATATGATTGGTTATCATCGTTTATGATAAAGACTTACAAATAAATCATCTTAACATTTACAACCTCTCAAAGAATAATTTTGTAGTTCTATGTTATGCATAAAATACGTTTCCGGCAAACTCGGCAGATGTGAGGCCTAAATAAATTGGATTTGTAACAGTAGATATCGATGAGAATTAAATTCAAGCAATAATCTTTATCAGTTTATTTCTGTTACAGATTTTACTGTATGAAAGATTTCCACTTTTTCAATTAAGTAGCATATGTAAAGTCTCTTGAGAATTTAAAACATACAAGAGCATGAAATTGAAAAAACGAATCAGTACACTGTTTCTGTTATAAACAAAAATGATGGTATTGCTAAGGAATATCGAACAGCTGACTTTATCAAAATAATATGACGTTTTAACGTAATCAATATTTTGAAATGTATAAGTAAACGAAACTTCAAAATATTTACTAAAAACTTACATAAGCCATAGAGAATTAAACTTATGGTTGTTAAAGTTTTATTAAGATCATTATGAAATATATCTTTGAAATGTTTCTTTCGAAATAGGCCATGAGCTACAGCACGCCCATACTCTCCACAACAAGCAGGTGATTTTTTATGAGACGGTTCCGTGGTTTTGGTGGCTGACTTATCATCTACATATAGATTACTGTCTTGTTTTGACATTTACTTTCGATAATAAATTTATCAGACAGAATTCCAGTCAATACACTAATAGAATTCTAATTTATAGTAAAAAACAGTGTTTGTAAATATTTCAGTGTATCAAATCACAACTTAAAATTAACGTTAACATCAATCTCATTTGCGATTGGTTATCTCTTTAGCAGAGTTACGTTAGTGGGCAATGATCAAGTAGAAATGTGAAACGTATGGATGTAGAGGCTAGTTTCCCTTAAATCTGACCCCAATAAATAGTATCCCATTAATTGAGTATTGTATGCAGGCTAAATCTCCGAGTAGAACTATAGATTTACTCGAGATTATTCAAAATCCTGAACACCAGTTATAGAGATAGTATATTGTTAAAGATCGGTAAAATCCGCAAGCGTACAGGAAGCAAGCACACAGGAAAACCAAGTGTATGTGTGTGAGTGAGTGTTAAAAATCCATATATATTTATGAGTGTTAACCAAATATGAATTAATTATTGATTGTCTGTGTATTACAACAATGAAAGAATACATTGAAAATTGATGTGCAGACATGTGCTCAATCATACTCACACAGAAATTTACATAATGGATTAAGTGTCTGAATTACAGTGAGCAGATAAATAATACAGTAGTTGAATGGACTTATTACACGGAAACTATTTTGCATACAGAGTGACAATACATCTATTTTTCATCCATAAAAATTAAGCAGAATCAATAAGAGATAGACAGTGAATGGTTTTATCGGAAAAAAGGGGAGTTATATTTTAAGTGGTCCCATAGAAACTTTTAAAACTTATTCAACACCCTGAGTTACAAACCTGAATACACAAAATCGGCAATTCTTAAACGAATGTAAGTATACTTTTTAGTTTTAAAATTCTAGAATAATGTAAAGGTAACAAAAATAGAGAAATGATTCAGCAAATAAGTATCGAATGATAACATTTGTGAGAGACCAAATCATATTTTTTAAGTCCCATTTGATATATGTACTATCGTTTACTAAATTCATAATCAACAAATCTTATGATATCAGAAGAGGCTTTTGTGGATATTATAGTAATTTTAATAGTTGAGATCATGAGTCAATTGTATTACATGGAGTTCTAGTGAGAAGCAGTGAACAGTTGAGTTCAACCGGGTTTGTCGTGAAATAGTAACCCACTGAAGATCATGGTGGACGTGTCGCTCAATTTCGTGAATTGGTTGAAGTTAGACATTACTTACTTACTTACTTACTTACGCCTGTTACTCCCAATGGAGCATAGGCCGCCGACCAGCATTCTCCAACCCACTCTGTCCTGGGCCTTCTTTTCTAGTTCCATCCAATTCTTGTTCATTTTTCTCATATCTATCTCCATTTCCCGGCGTAATGTATTCTTTGGTCTTCCTCTCTTCCTTCGACCTTGAGGATTCCATATGAGGGCTTGTCTTGTGACGCAGTTCGGTGCTTTCCTCAATGTGTGTCCTATCCACTTCCAGCGCTTCTTCCTGATGTATTCGTCCACTGGGATCTGATTTGTTCTCTCCCACAGTAGGTTGCTGCTTATAGTGTCCGGCGAGCGGATCTGAAGTATTTTGCGTAGACAACTGTTAATAAACACTTGTATCTTCTGGACGATGGATTTCGTAGTTTTCCAGGTTTCCGCGCCATACAGTAGAACTGTCTTGACATTTGTATTGAAAATTCTGACTTTGGTGTTGGTTGCTAATTGTTTTGAGTTCCAGATATTCTTCAGTTGTAAATATGCTGCTCTTGCTTTGCCAATCCGTGCCTTCACATGTGCATCAGATCCACCGTGTTCATCAATGATACTGCCCAAATATGTAAAGGTTTTTACATCTTCCAAAGCTTCTCCGTCAATTGTGATTGGATTGGTACATGTTGTGTTGTATCGAAGAATCTTGCTTTTCCCTTTGTGTAGAAGTTGGACATTAACACCATTGAATGCCGGTTCAGTGGTCTAGATGTTAAGCGTTCACGCGCGAGACCGACAGGTCCTGGGTTCGAGTGTTGTATGCGGGATCGTGGATGCGCGCTGCCGAGGAGTCTCACAATGAGATGAAACGGATGTTCACTGCTTTCAATTTTTTCATGGTAGTTTAGCTTCAATTGACCCATGATTTCAACTATTAAAATGTTATAATACTGTTAAACGGTGTATCAGCTTAGAAGTTTCTTTTATTTGATTTTGTTTGAATAAAATCCTTGAGAATCTATGCTCATAACCATTATAATCTACTTTGAACCATGAAAATGAGACTTACAACACATTTTAAAGCGTTTTTCCTTACATTTTATCAGAGATATCACTTTAATTTAAGAAGTTTATTCATCAGTCTAATAAATAAATAGTCAAATACTTGACACTGTTTTGAGTTCCTTATTAATACTTTGGGATTTCACCGATATGAGCCCAAACATATTTTAAAAGTAATTCTTTCAAATGAAGACCTAACTCTTAGGGCAGAGCTTAAATGGTTTGAATTATTTTTTTCTGGTTAGTGTTGTTTAACGAGTGAAGTGCGGTGTCAGGCAAAGTTGCTTACTCTCACCATTTCACCTTCTCCTGGTGATCGACTGGATTACAAAAACGTCAACATCTTGGGGAAGCATGGGATACAGTGGACAGAAAGGATGTAGAAAAGTCGTATTTCTAACGTTTTGTGACTTCATGTAAGTCAATTCTTTAAAGTTATAAATAACCGAATTCGGTTATATTTATTAACAGCTTTCGACCCAATGCTCAATTTATTTGGAACTATCCAGTCAAACCTTGGCATTGTTATATTGATTGCTATCCCAGATTTCAGCTAAAACTTCAGTTAATTTAACTGCTAGTGCTGGATCTGCATCCTAATAATCCCCAGGGATTAATTCATCAGCCGATGTTGCTCTCTCTCGCCTTGGATTGTTTATAGCATTTTCAACCTCACTAAGGGTTAGACGACTCACATCAACTTGACATTCAGGCTGCTTGGAGATGTTAAGTAACTGAAGTGTGTCTGAAGTTCAGTTAAACTGTTCCTTAAAGTGTTCTGCCCATTGGTTTAATCTTCTGGGTTGAAAATGAATAACAGTTCTGTTTTTTCCGAAAGTTACACTGACAGTTGTATTTTTAATACTTGTTTTCTTGACAAGTCTGAACAGTTTTCTATCGTTACATCTCACTGCAGCCTTTTCCATCTCTTCTGTTTTCACCACATGACACTGCTTACGATCATTACGTAGGCTTTCTTATGAGGCTACTCTTTAGCGTTCTCCGTTCTTTGCCATATTCCGAGCATCTACCAGTTCTGTTGATGTCATTCAAATCCGCTGATTTTCCAAACATTTTGGTTTAAGTCGCTAGTAAATATCACTGCTGTTTCCCCAGGCCGTTTGGATATCATACCAAGCCGATTCGGAGTGGATATCATTTTTGTGTTTAACTAACTCTTTTGATTGTTTCTGAAATATATTCTTGACTTTTTCATTATTAAGTTGAACTTTGAGAGACCTTCTTGCTATGGCTTTTCTACGTCCAATTTGACTCCTACAAATAAGTGCTCGAACTAGAGCATTATCTGAGTTTAAACATGTGCTCCAGAATGAGTGATAGTCCTCAATGGAGAAATGAAATCTATTTGAGTCCATCAATAAGTCAATTGTAGAGGTCTTTACGTCAAATGACGTTTCTCCTAATGTTTAGATTTGTTGTTTGCGAAAATAGACTGTTATCTCAGCATAGTTACAGCAGATGGTCACCATTATCTGTTTGCTGAGCCGCGACACCATAAGATCCGTATAATTACCTTCTGGTTTGGTTTATTCTATCTGCTTTAGCACTGGAATCACCCACTACTATTACTGTAGTAGAGCACTTAGCTTTTTGACGAACTTTGGATAGTTTACTATAAAATCCATCAATAACTTCGTCCGATCTGCAGTCATTGGGTGAGTAAACAGAGACAAAGAAAAAGCAACGGCGTACGTCCCTATCTTTTTGAGCTTGTACCGTCCTGTTTAGCTGGACGATGAACAAGCGATTGTTTATTGAGATCCAGACTAGGAGAGCCTGTTCTGCCTTAGAAGCTAATGTTATACCTACACTAGAGAGGTCATGGAAACTAAAAGCTTTAACATGTAATCTATAGTTTGTTTCCAGGAGAACAGGAATAAAACTTTGTGAGCTCAAATTATTAGCAGTGATCTCGCGCGGGACTAAATATGTACGAGAATGATAAACTGTGAGGATAAGACAATTATTAAGAGGTGGGGGGATTCTGTCGTAAGCAAAATGATTGTTGTAATTACTGTTTTTGTTGTTCCGTGCTCTCTAATTCCGTTTGATTTTTTCTAGTTGTAGATTACTATAATCAGTCCATTATGGCACCGGAAATTATCATAAATACACCGTTCACAAAACAGCAGAATGTCCACCTAAAAAATTAAAAGTTTCCAGATGGTAGCTTTCATTCCAGTAATACATGTGTACCTAAACAATCAATCTAAAACGAAATACGCATAATAATCATAATAATAAAGCTCATCCACTAAATAACTCAACTTTCAAACATTGAACTGTAGGTCTGAGCTATCGTTAGCAATCATACCAAAACTTTAATCGAATACATGAATCTGTGATTTGTAACCGAGTTGTATTATTCAGTCAATTTAATTACCTTCATTATAATGTTACACTCAGTAATATCTTTGCCTATTTAATCTAGTCTGTTTACATCGAGTCTGTGAAACATCTTTTGATGAAATCCTGATAGGCTTCAATTGGAAGTCTGGAACTTCTTAGAGGTACATTCGATCAGCTAAAAAATCAGTTACCTACAATGACTTAAATCCCCACATCCTATCTATTGTCAATGTTTGACTGGTAGGAATGTAATCCCTTCAAAATTATCTGGTTGGTTGTTATGTACTCTAATTATTTACTTATTTATTTATTATTCGTTTTTGGTACCTGCGTACATTTACACAACTTTGTAACTAGTTAACTTATTAATGTTATTGCTTTGAACATACATTATGTGCCTGAGGAAGTATTTAAACACAATCTGGAGGACTACTATTAACATTAACATATACATTTTAAAATTGATTATGTAAATGGTCTTGCGAATTAATTCTCTAATGATTTCCTTTTACATAAATACCTGTAAATTAATAATTAATTGTGTCCTTTTGAAACTCTCCATGATTTTTATTTATTTCAATTACCTGAAAAATCATTATTTTATACTACATCACTTAGTTAAGTGTAAAATATTTAAGGAATTATTAATCGAGAAATATAGGAAAATAAGTATTTACAATTGATTGATTACTGGGTGGTAATCAATATCATGTATGTCAGGTCCTTCTTAGTGCACATCGAATCCTATCGACCAAGTTGCAATGTGGCAATGTGGCTGGGTGACACGGGATCGAATCCGTTAGAGAGCTTCATTTCCCTCAAGATTACAGGTACAATGTACTTTAATGTATTCTAACGAGTTCTCTAAAGTGTAGTATATGGGTGATATTCAAGAGTTTTTTTCGTTAATACATTTTCAAGTCATTTTGCCTACCTTCATTATCTATAAGCCACTAAAAAATGTACAGTTGAAATTTTGTGAGTGTATTATCATACTACTACACAGTAGTTGGCTTAAATAACACGAATTTCTCTATTCGATGATACTTCCTAATATTTCATTTAATATATGCAGTATATGGTGGAAAGTAAAGAATTTTCTCCTCTGAAGTCATCATATCGTTCAAAGTCTTGTAGAAATCAACTTGATAGATAGATCAAAATGTCAATAATGTATAAAGATCGGCAGCGAAAGTACTTTTTCTACTTAAAGTATTTAAGATTTGAATGACACTTGGTACGATGCCCGAAAATTGGGCTTTACAATCAGATCATGATTGATTAGAGAATAAAGAACCCACAAGCTAATTTCCTCTAGCCACCTATGACATTTTATTATGTTTATTTTGTGTTAATATTCTGTAAATAAGCGCATTATTTTATTTCATCGACTATTTTTGCTAGTGGTTTTGTCTTTGATTTCAAATCATTGGAGGAATAAAGTCAATAATGCGGTCTCATAAACAACAGCCAGTTGGTCTCATTATATCGTTTATCAATTTTCAGCCTGCTTGTTGATTTCGAAAGTACGTTCATGAAATCATCAAAAACCTCGTAGTGTCAGATACTATGTTAAACCCATATAACTTATTCTAGCTTCTGGACAAACTAATTTATCCATTCTTCCCATGCTACATTTTGACCTTATTAATTATTCCCTTATCAACCTTGACTGTTTTTATGTAAGCATATATATGTTTATTTCCTGTCTTACTCAACACATGTCTGTAAATGACCTTTATCTGACTATAAATATCGATTAACGCTTGATTAAATCGAGTTGGCCAATACGCCTCCACTGTGCGTCATTTGGATTCGCCTCTCTCCTTATCTATCTATCTATCTATCTATCTATCTATCTATCTATCTATCTATCTATCTATCTATCTATCTATCTATCTATCTATCTATCTATCTATCTATCTATCTATCTATCTTCGCTTCCTTTGTTCCGTTTCTCTGATTATTTTTGTCGACCAACGATAGTACAAAATATAAGTATCCAGAAATCAATTCTTTTATTTGACTTATTTAATTCCGTTATTCATAAACGCGATCTAAGTCGATAATTTTATGCGAGGATTGACGATATGTATATTTCAATAGCAATAAGAAACGATCAAACTGGATTCAGATCTCGGGCCACTAAAACATCCTCCATCAAACACTGAATGCAAAACTAAAGAAAGTTATGGGAGATTGACAGCAGAATGTTGTAACAAACAGTATGACCTTCGTCTATCACGAACTAGATATTAGATAAATTATTCTGGAATACCGTCGTAGGCTTAACATTTTTCAAGGACTGAATAGATTCAACGTACTCGAAAAAGGAAGCAAAGCACAACACGAAGCTCTATCTGTCAGATAAATATATTTTCTCAGATGCTCATAGGTTTTTTGCTTACCTTCCTAGACTAAATTCTGTCCATTTACCATAGTATTTTATTAAATTACATTTTTGTAACGTTCGCTACATAATTAACGCGAAATACGATATATACAACTAACGGCACTCGAACGTATAGAATCCCCACAGTCGCAAATAAAAAAAGCAGACAAAGTGATTGTTCGGTAAGAATAAAAAATGTACTGACAATCGTCGGTATTTATAGATATCAGAGTTTGCTATAAGATTATTGTAATTCAGCCAATCCACAAGGAGGCAAGTTATGCTACCGTCCAATCACAGCTTGATACGTTGATATTCTACAGAACTCCATCAGGTTCTGATTGGGTGGAAACTCTTTAGCTCCATTGGGGCCTCTGGAGGCTCCACTGTGCTTTTCGAAAGCCGTCCTGACACCTCTCACGAAAAAGATTTTCGATTTGGGTCCACTTGTAACCTGACAACTGATTTGCTGTGGTGTTCCATTCTTTTAGTTGTCCTTTTTGTCCAAGTTTACAATCTTCCGTTCTTTCCGGTATTCTTGGACGTGTGTGTCGTTGATATATCAGAGTAAAATCATGAGTACTTAATAAAGTATCTATTTCAACGAATAAATTACTGTTATACGTCCATGGTCTCAAAGGTAATAATAATTTGATGTCTAGCTTTAAAAATATCATTATTTTCATATCGATTTAGTTTTCTAACTTGTGTTCAAATAATGTTATCAATGACACAGTTTCGAATACATTACTTAAGAACTAAATAAATTCAAGGTTATAAACATATTCATGTAATCAGTCAATTTATTAAAACCAGACTTATCAACGTGCGTAAACATGTTACCACAGTTGTTGTTACTACACTAAATCGGATTAATTTAAGGGGATATGTATACGTATTAAATTTATATATTCATCTTACGACTAATACTACTCATGACAGCTAACTTAATTTACAAAATAAATTTTGATAGTTAATCACCTTAGAAATAAGGTTGCTGAGTGATCTAAACATATACAGGTTGGTACTTGAATGAAACAAAAAAGGCTACAAATAACTTCTATAAGTGAGTAAATCATTATTCACTTTTGTCTACAAATGATCAGATATATTGGATAGATAATGTAAACATATGCAAACATAAACCTCACTATTACTTATGTTTACTTCTATTAAAAAGTTAACATTTTACTTTTTAGCTCTGAAGCTCTAAGCCTATGATGCTTCCGTCTTATAGAACTACTGAAATGTCTAAATATACAAAGATTATGACTTGGATATGTAAGAAAAATATAGCTAATGGTTTAGGTAAAAAAAGGTTATGATGGAGTTTTATTCTTTGAGCTGGATGGTTAGGTCGTGGAGCTTTCATCGTTCTTCTGAACGATATCATCACCACAAAATCCACCATCTTAAAAAAAGTTACTATTAACCGTATATAAACTTTTATGAACTAAATTTTCATGACAGACAAAAAATGAGACTGGAAACATGGGTTGTAAATTACAGAACGTTCATGTCGCTACTATCATTTTCATCAATTTATTTTAGGGGATAAAAACCACTACTCTAATGAACAAATGGATTTTTTAAATAATAAACGAAGATTTCATCTCTATTCATTTCTTTCATCGTAAAAATAGAAAAATATATTTGCTTTGTAGCTCTTCGCTCCATTGAATAATATCCTGAAAATACTCTAAATCATAAACTGACTTCACTTATACAATCGGAAATTAGATGTTTTGTCCTGCTTTTCAAGAATCGTTTAGTTGGGAGAACAAGCTTAATAAATTAGGTCCTACTATCATTACAGTACATGATTTAAATCAACTTAAAATTATATTTCTAATGATAAAAAATATGTGTACTTTCAAAGGTATACAAAATAAGCCCGTTAAAAATAGCACAGACAAAGCTTGTTTATTGTCATGTGTCATACAAAAAAAAGATTGATATCAATACGTACAAGGAAATGTACAAGCATGTAGGTTCATGTTCATTTCTCTCCAACTAAAAATCAATACTTATAAAAGAATATAATAATTTGCTTCAAGCACATACGAGGTCAATATGTATATATACTCACTTAAAGTAAACAAGCTGTTATTTCCATTTCATATTATCCAATAAAATTCCGACTCCAAATACACCAATCAAAAGGAAGGGACTGCTTTTAGGAATATTAAACTTCAATTTATTCAGATAATATCACACAAACATATTACTGTGTAAAAAAACGTGGATCAGATACATATTATTTCCTTATTAACTCTTATTGATTTTTTATCTATCGTTGGCCAAATATATTAATGTCCGATCAGAAACATAAAAAATGTGAATGTTGTGAAGAGTATGGAAATGCTGTGGCTTCCGGATTGTTTCGTAAAAAGGAAATAGGACGTGATATGAAAGAACTACTCAAAACTGGTTTGAACCGATGTTTAACAACATTAGATTTGATAGCATATGGATTAGGTGAGTTTTTAGTCTATATACATATCAGTTTTGTGAGATGAATTAAAATAAATTTTTATTGAAATGAAAATCGTAAATCTTTCATTCTATGTAACAAGCTACGTCGAAAATTGTTAAAAATCATTATGTACTCCAATTTATAACTCCACCTGTAGCAGTGCTACGATAAATACCGGTCCTAAAACCGGGTAAAAGAGGGTGGTTGGGCACGGAGTCACCAACCCCATCGCGTAGAAAACAACATTACTAAAAAACGTTAACCAGGAAAAAACAATTAAAACCATTTAAACTATGTCTTCCGAGATAAAGCATCTTCACCCGACATTCTTCGGAAGTCATCAGAACGATGCTCCTTCTAACAACCATAGCAGCAACTAACATGGGTATATGAGATGCATGGATAGTGCATGACACTGGGAAGACCAGTCAAAAAGCTATGGAAATGAAGAGATACGACTTCATGATGCTCGGAATCAGTACAATCCATCGAAGCCGAACTGGACAAAAAAGATAAGATTCGAGAGAGATACTGCAGTGCTCTGATCGCGAAGAGAAAAACGCTCCACACACTAACAGAGTTGCTCTGATGCTATCCAAAGAAGCACGTAGAGCGATTACAATATGGGAATCTCATGGATCCACAAACATCAATGCGTCATTCAAAAGAGAGAAGGAGGATATTACAATGAATGTTTTCCAATGTTATGCACAGACCTATGAAAGAAATGACAACGGCAGTGACCAATTTTGCGAGAGACTGCAGTCGATCATAGTAAAGTGCTCAGAAAATGACCTAACCATCCTCACGCTAGACTTCAACACCAACGTCAGAATGGATAATAACGGATATGAAAATATCATGGGACAACATGGACTGACTAGGAGAAATGAACGAGAATGGTGAGAAATCTGCAAATTTATGTGCATTCAACAAAATGGTCAACGGTGGTACAACATTCTTACATAAAAGCACACACAAAGTCACATGGATCTCACTGCACCACACCCCACAGAGTCAGATCGAGCATATTTGCATCAGTTGAGAATTCACTAGGTCAATGGAAGACGTGAGAACCAGGAGAGGCGCTGATATAGCTTCACATCACCATTGACCTGGTGATTGCCTGAATGCAACTGAAACGAAAGAAGCATTGGATAACTGGATTAACAGCATTACAAAGTTCAATACGGCCTTACATTCGACATACTGACAAACTCAACCAATTCAAGATAGATCTCAACAACTAGCTTCAAGCCTTACAGGATCTACTGAAAGAAGAGGAAACTACTATGGAGAACAAGTTGAGGTGAATAAACAAACGCTAACTCTTATGTGTCGAGAATCGCTGTGCTGTAAGTAGCATCATCGTAAGGGATGGATCTCTATGGAAAACGTGTTTTGTATTCAAGAAAGGGAGAGCATGAATATGGCAATTAACAACAGTCAAACAACAACAGAGAAATTCAATGTACAAACTGAATACACAGAGGCGAATAAGCAAGTGAAGAAGAGCATCAGAGCTGACGAGCAGAAATATGTGGAACACGTACCAATGACAGAGGAAACAGTTGAAAGAGAAGGAAATATGGAACAACTAAATGACACAACAAAAAGCTGACCGGAAAATATGATAGAGCAAAGAGACCGGTCATAGACGAAGAAGCGAAACAATCACTGAGATTCAAGAACAAAGGAACAGATGCATGACCATCAGACAAACGAAGTAATGGTAAGAAGAATGACTTGACAATATACCACCTGAAGCAATGAGTTCAAGCATAGAAGTAACTTCAGACATGTTCTACATTCTATTCAGGAAGATTTGAGATGAAGCACAAGTGCCGCCGACAGACTGAAACACAAGGATATCTCATCAAGATACTAAAGAAATGAAATCTGGGTAAGTAAGACAACGAACTACATCAGTATCAAACTGCTATCGGTACCAGTAAACGTTTTCAACAGAGTGGCTGCAGCCTCTACATCAGTAGGAAAAACCATCATCCTAAAATACAACACGGAAAACGACAATACAATGCAATAGGTGTAAACATTCACGTACCTGTCTAGACAGTATCAATAATGAACGTGGAGGAGCTGAAGAAGAAGTAAAGACAAGAATTGGCAAAGTAATGACGGCAGTCCTACACTGGGACAACATATACAACTCCAAACGGCCGCCACTCAACCAATATCAAACTCACAATCTTCGATTAAACATCAAGACAGTTCTTGTGTACGCCAATGATACTTCCAGAACAACTACAACCATCATAAAAGTACAAGTATTTGTAAACAGTTTTCTACGTAGGACACTCAATGTCCGTTGAGTGGTTATCATCAGCAACAGTCTACTGTGACAGAGAACAAACCATTTTCCATCAGAAGAGGAAATTAGGAAATGACATTAAAGGTGGATAAGACAAACATTATGGAAATCATCGAACTGCATCACGAGTCAAGCCTTAACTCGGAATCGTGAAGTGGAATGGAAAAGTGTAAGATGAAATAACACAGTGTGTTGGGATTTGGAAGCAGGCATGAAAAGGATGAATAGCAATTTGATAAAACTATAAAGTATTGTCCAGGACGGAGTTGGATTGAGAATCCTGATGGTTGGCCTACGCTCGTGCACGAGGAGTAACTGGAGTAAGTAAGTAACTACTCAATTTTGTGGTTACCTATCCCCCAACAGTAATAAATATTATGGTCCCGAAAATCGTGTATATTGTATCTAACATCAGATGAAATTTATTTACTGTGACAAATCACATTAAACTATATTTCACTGAATTCGTTTTTACGTTTTCAGGGGTTGTCATCAAAATATGACGTACCTAGGTTTTTAATGTCTCCTGAGTGTAGCTCATTAGCGATTGTTTGTCTGACATTCAAAGCAAATCATTCATATTATTTGCTTGTCGCTAAAAAATAAAATATTTTTTGTTAAAATTTTTTCATAGGTACGGGCATGCATCCGTGCAGGAATGGAGTTATCTATAACCACTTTTATTCATTATGTACTAGACAAAACTGATAATGAATTATCATTATAAGTATCTCAACATTAAAACTTTTAAAGGCTATGTTGCGGCCTGAAAGTGATTCATAAAGTTCGGTGTAGGAAATAGTTTATTGTCGTATACACGCCTTGCGAAATTTGTAATCAATAATCTTTATTACATTGTGTGAACCACTTAGGTGTGGTAAATTGACCATTTTAGTTACTTCAATAGAAATCAAACTATTTTCAAATACTTGATTGTATACATAAGTATTACAGGCAATGAAAACTTTAACATTGTCTTTTCTATTCCGTAAACAAATGACTACTATATCCACTTAGTTGTATTTATTACTGTCATCACAAGATTGTGCGAGTATGTTTGATGTTTATTTATTCCTGTAAACAATTTTATAAAATCTAGAATTTTCATTAAGTTAGATTAAGAAATGTTACTAAACAACTACTAGAATTTCTTTTAATCTGTCTTCATTTTATGATGACTGTTCGATGATAATAATAATAATAATAATAATAATAATAATAATAATAATTTACAATCATAATCTCATAAATGCAGTATCCAGGACTCAAATTTCTTATAATTTGAGTATTCCTAAAAATAATCGATATTAGGATTAAGAATGTGTTTACTTTAAAGTTTTGTTTTAAACTATACTTAATGTAGAAGTACGCAAAATTTCACTTGCGTAATCATAAGTTTAATATGAACTATATTCTTGACAAGAATAAAAATTGACTGAAATAGAAGCTACAATCAAATTAATGAACGGTCACTGAAAGAAAATCCAACGTTATCAATCATACATCATTGAATGAATGAAGTCAAATTTTTTAGTACTATATAACATAGGAAAAATAGTTGTTCAGTTTTCATTATTTTATGTAGATTCCGGAATCATTATACTGGTTGATGAAAAACACAAGTCTAGTAATTCATTATTTTCATAATTATCTACAGATGTTTCATTTAGGTTAGGTGGAGTACTAGTTTTATCTATTATTCTTTGATCTTTGCAAACATTTTCACAACCTTCACATTTATCGGTATTAACTGCTAACATTTAGATGCAGATGTTCTTAAAGTGTTAAGTTATTGAATTGTTGATGACCATTTTCTGGAATCTGAGTGACTTTCTGAACTTGAAATAAAAGATAAGAAAGTCGATATGGATGGGGCAATTACTAGGTGCCTACCTCAACCCATTTCTCTTGAATTATCCATCACATAACGACTGGTGTTATAGTAATATAAAGGATATGAGTTAATTGTAAAACTAGTAGTAGTAAAAACTAAATAAATGTAGTCGTCGACATCACCCTCCATATTTAAATGATGATAAAGACGATATGTTACAATACTGTCGTAATTATATTATCCACTACTTTAATTTTTTTAGACACCTAGGTACGTTTATTGGTTTTATAAAGCTATATCACAAAACATCTTCCCCTTTACAAAAGACATAATCGACCAGTGTTTGTTTGAACTGTCCAAGATCTGAAACAATAAGTTTTGAATCAGAAGCAGTTGAATTATTTTATTACCTGCCACATTGGCAAACTACTGTCTGCTAATTGAACCGAAAAAGATAACCTAAATGGTATGAAGGTCATGTGGCGAGCTGAGATGTTGTGCATTGTGAAAAGTTAGCAGTTGTGATAGATCTCGACTGACCTTCACCTGAAACGGTAGTTTCAGTAAAAATTGACAGCTAAAGCTTTTTCAGTTCACGATTTATGATATCCTCAATTACACCGTCATAAAGTTTAACCACACAAGACATCTGCATATGTTCACTTATCTATTTTCTTATTAGTTACATCTGAGTTGTCAATTAATGTTCGGAATGGATTTATCAAGAAGAGTTATTGATGAGATATTCTACAATTATTACAAATTGTAACTGATATTAGTCAGTTGTTACTAAATCAATCCATCTAAAATTTAAAATATAAAATTTCTCCTTCTTT